AGCTGCTGTTTAACTACTATAAAACCAATGTAATCGATGTACTTGAATGAATAAGAAAGGTTCATTGTTCTTCAACATTCGTAGCTAAACCTAGCTTCCTAACAATGAGTAATCACCTAAACGAGCCACAAAGATATCTCTTGAGAGAAAGTATTTGGCAGAGAGAACCCGAGCCACCAAAATAATAGGCGAGCGAAGACAACACCATAGTTGTTTACTCAGGAGAGCAATGTTAAAATGTCAAAGATCATGAAACCCCATCCCTCCAAGGCACTTAGGTTGGCAGATTGAGTGCTAAGCAACTAAAAGCCACCCCCTAGCAGAAGCTCGACCCAACCACCAATAGTCACGAAGCAAAGTTTCAATGTCAGAGATAATGCCCTTCGACAACAAAAAAAAAAAAACCCATGTTGTAGGCTAAAAAACACTAAAAATAAAAGTTTAATTACAGTTGACAGATCGAATGAGATATTTATTGTGTTATGTCATCACCTTAAATACAATTAACGACAGCTAACATTGCGATGCTAATTTTTTAATAAAATCTAAAATTTAATATTTATTTTATAAATTTTAAAAAATTAATATCTAAAAATCATTTTAAAATAATTTAATAACCATTTTTTAACTTTGCCTTTAAAATTTTCCAGAAATTGCAAATATTCATGAGGACTCGGCGGAGAAAAATTATGATTTATAATTTATGGTTGCATATCGCATCTTATTTCATGCTCTCCACTCTCAACAGTTTTTTTTTTTTTATAAAAAAAAACAGAATGCTTCAAAAACGAGAACGAAGTTTTCAAATAAAAAGGAAAATGCTGCACAACCACTACTGCAACTAACATGCCACTGCTTCTGCAAAGTTTCTCATGCTTTTCATTGTCACAAATTGCCATATGAAAGAACGCAAAAAAAATAATACAATAATCACAATAAACAAAAACAAAACATCGAAATAACCTAGGTACACTCTTCTGCAAAGTACAACGACAACACACATAAGGCATATACATTCCGCAAATGAGAATTACGTTGCAACTAAGTTATTTCTTATTGCATTTAGAGCTGGCTGATGTTTACCCTGTACAATACGCTTTAAAACAGCCGACCTTACTTGTTTTCAAAGTTCTTTGGAGTAAAGGCACTCGTCCACAAGTTGGTGAAGGTTAGGATTCTCCAAGGCAGCAACAACTCTTTCTTTATCGTTCAACAACTTGTTAACTGAAGAATGAACATGGTGAACATATTAAAAATTAGATCAAGGAGTCAGGAGACTGAGAGGTAAGGATGGTGAAAGAGATAAGCTGCTTCTATAGGGATAAAACATTACATCTAGAAATCGCTTACATGACATGCGAATTTTAAAAGACTTTATAACTCACAAGAGCAAGAAAGGTTGATGAACGGAAAACTAGTATAGCAGTTGAGTAATTCAAACGAATGTATAATTCTCTTAATCTGTTCTATGTTGCTCAAACTCTATTTTTTTTTTCTTTTAACTACCTAATATAAGGACACTTCAAATACACGTAAAACCTTTGAACATCTTTGTCGAATATATATCCTTAGACTTTAACACCTGAATTCCAGTATCATACATTCTCTTCATTTATTCTATCTCTCATCTTTCTAGGAAATAAAATCCCTTCACTTTTGTTAAGAAAGAACAAGTTAAAACATTGAAATCCCATTATGTCTTAAATCACATCAAAGAAATTCCATTAAAAGAAGACCGCCTATATGAATCTATAAACATCTTTTCCATCTCCAATGGTGGAATTTTTAATTTTTTTGGGTTAATTGCTGCATTGCCATGTAAATTAAAATTCATTTAGGGAAAAAAACGAATAAAGAAGTGGTAAGAGTCCTAGATGATATATTTCAACACAGGGAGTTCTCACTTTAGCAAGGGAAAACAAAATTTGTCAGCTATGCTCTTCAAGTTATCCTATATGGCTATATATATATATATATCAACATTAAAACTTGAACAAATCAGTCCCCAACATTACAAAAGTAATGCTTTTCTGGGAAAGTATTCAAAATTGTTGCTGAGAAAACTTTTACAAGCTATCTAATTTCACCTGATTCTTCATCAGCATGAGATCCGGGGGCGACTTTAATATCAACCTACAAGGATAAATCATTAACAAATAACAACAGCTTAGTTTTCATCACTTTGAACTTAAGATGGAACTGAATCCATTTTCAGTAGTATTTATTTCTACGGAAACAACGCAATAGAATTTCACTTTTCTGAAGATTAATTGACGGGAAAATTTAAACAAAACATCATAAACTTTGGTTATAGAACAAAAACTCACCTTAAAATGTGGAGGAAAACATTCTTTTAATTTAACCCTTAGGCACAGACCGATTACTGTAGCCATGCTGCAATGCTGGATAGTGGGAGTGAAAGTTATCCTAAACAATGAATCAACTATATTACCTCATAAATAAATAAATGCGGAAGAAGCAGCAACGAAAAAGAAAATCCCCTTAAATTAAACTATAAATCAAACACCAAAGTTCATAAAATGAACCTGAAAACTAAAATTTACTATTTTCAAGCTCCGTTTTACACAATTTTACGAATTTTAAATCGAAATTAAAGTGAGAAAATACTCACAGAATTCGGCCCAGTTTCTCATCAACAGTTATTGATTCCTCAGACAGAACACTAAGCTGCTCTAAAGAATACGGATGTTCAGGATCTCTAATATCCCTCACGAAATTTGCTCTTCCAGTCAAAGATCACAACATTTTTTTTACATTTCTTTAGCTTCGTTTTCTAATTATAATGATAAAGAAAAGAAGAAAAGCAAATACGGAAGTTACTATTTGTCCGCTAAAAAATGCAATTGAAATCTAAATTAGATCTTAGCCAATTAACTCGTTCAAGATCATATAAAAAATATCAAACCAAGAATAGTAGAAGAAGGATATCATAGATTTCGAGTGGATCAACGACGTCGTCACCGTGAGGACCTTCATTACGAGCGACTCGTTCTTTCTTGGCGTGAACCACTGGGTTCGCATTGATCAAGCCCAGAGTCATTTTTGCCGGCTCTTCTTCTTCTTCTTCTTTTTTGGGGTACGGCTTTGGTTCACTAATGCTCTTGCACTATGCTTTCGGAGGAGAACGGGGGAAAGTGCTTTAAAGTTGACTACTCATCGAACGCGTTGAATCGAATTTTTTGATTTTGTTTGCCACAGAAGCGTCGATATCTGACTGGTTAGTTTTCCGGGTAAACTACATTAAATGGTCACTGAAGTATTAGTAAGTCTCTTCTTTCAGTACTAAAGTTTTAAAAGTAACAAATCGACCGCTAACAATATCATTTTATAACAAATCAATCATTCAGCTCTTAATTATTTCTGATAACATAAGACTGATGTGACACATTAAATTAATTACTTGACACTATTTGACAACATTAAACAAGAATTATAGACATTTGACTCTAATAAAAAATCATCTTTAAAAGGGGCATCAGTCCTTAAATAAATCATAATTTTAAATACAAATCCCTTCTTTTCAATCTAAATTCAAGACAAATCAAATGATGAATTATTTTTCTTGCATCTGGTTAACATTAAATCTCATAATTTCATACCTTTTGATTTATACCAACCATTGAAGATCCGGAGCTTGCTTATCGGCAAAGAAATTGCAAACTTCATCTGCAGTACTACTGATGAAATCGTGCTCTTCCATCTTCACATAAGTTGTTTCAAACAATTGGAAGCAATGCTCATGGAGGACGACAAGGAACACGCTATCGTGTTTCTTAGGCCACTATCGTCGCTACCTCTGTTGTTGTTGTTGTTGTCTTCGTTCAAGATATGCGTTCAAATTACAATCCAACAACCCATCTTTCATTTCTGATTTTGTATTCCAATCATTATTCGTTGCTACCTCCAAGTCCAACTGCATGATTCGCTTTCTTATAAATAAAAACAACCGTTTAACTAATTATGTGTCGTCCACTGTGGCCCCTAGCTTTTTCACGATCTTGATATCTCTTAGAGCAATCATATCTAGCTTTGTTGGATCCACGATAGAGAGAACTGAATCAACGGACAGGGGCGCCAGCAGAGTTGAGTATTGGCCATTACCACCGGCATCATCATATCTTCATCAAATAAACACTGGCCTAGTATGTTCAAATCCAAGCCCTGCAATACTCGGCACCAATGGCAGAAATGACATCAACTTATCTCTCGTCTCAACTTGTTGCCAAAAAGCCCTTACACCTCTGGTAATTGAGAAGCTTAATCTAAGGTGTCCTCTGTTCTTTAATAATTCTACGTAAGACATCATGAATCAAATAAATTAAAAATCAATTGGGCATTTTCATACATCTCAAGCACTTCACTAAGTACTTGGAGACCAATTTATTCTTTATACAATTCATAGGGATCAATCAAACATAAAAATAGACATTAATCATCATTGCAAATATTTTTACATATTTGAAGTTGAAGGTATCTATATTTGACATATGGTATCAATATCTTGGCCTTGTATTTTATCAAATATTTTAGATTATCTAAATATTTATACCTTACAAATATTTTTACACATTAATCATCATTGCAAATATTTTTACACATGTGAATGTAACTCTAAGAGCGAGTATGTTATAATTACTATTTGGTCGGTTCGATCATCAACATAGTTAGCTTCATGATTTGATTTGTTCAATCAAGTTTTTTTAAAAAAAAAATCAATTTCGAAAACCAATTTCTGACTACTTTCATCGTTATAAAAATTAAAAGTATTAACTGTAAATACGCTGCCTGAGTGCCTTAAACCCCGTATACTTGGGAGTAAACAAATTCCATGAACATAAATATCGCCTGTATGCTCAACAATCACTAGAACATATAGTTAAAAACTCTTCTTTAGGTTGTGAATTTAATACTTATTAAGAGTAAAATTCTCCTTCCATTCTCTTCGGTAAGAATTATTTTTTTAAAAAAAATCACCTGTCTGCCCTAAAACAAAGGTATTATGAACTTCATTTGTTTTATATAAACCATACCCTATAAAAGACGATTTAAAAAAAAGTGAGATTCTTTTTTATCTTAATGATTAGCACTGAGAGCAAGTTATGAGCTTTTTTTCACCTAAGCAAGCAAGTGGATATTGATATACAGTGCCAAATAGTTGATTCAAGTTGATACAAGTCTGCCTATTGAAGCCCGACCCTATGTATATTTTACATCTCTTGATTTCTGACATAACACTCCAGACAATAGCTAGTGCGCAGGCTCAATTCGGTTAGCTTGATTTCTGCGCAATTGGTGCTGGCTGTGGTGCCACTTCAGCAACTGAATGCCCATTGCCATTCGCAATGTGATGATGCTTCTCGTCAATTCCCCAGAACTTAGCAGTTTTAACATCATCCTGAGCCATCAATCGTGAGAATTCTTCATGGTCATACTTCAGCGTTCCGGTTCCCCCAAATTCACTCGGGAGGTTTTCAACATCAAAGTATGATTTCATGAGCTCCACGCTATCTTTATTTTTAGGATACACAAACTTCACCTTCTGAACTGTTTTCGCATCCAGAAAATACCTAGTCGCCTACGGAAATTTACATAAGAAAGATCAATCAAATAGAATGCAAAATTTCATGTTATATAATGTCCCAATCTAAGATTGACATATTGCAAATATTGCAACTAAACGGAACTAATTGCACTATGAGTAAACCTATTACACTCCACGGACCAGATTAACTAAGTTCACCAATCTCTCAATTAATGGTATAAATCAGCACCGACTCATAATCCGTCTTGCGATGAATAGAACCAGATATAGCATTAAACTTCTATGACAAAGAAGATGCAAAGATTTGCTTGGTACAAAGATCAGGAATAAGGAATTAATTGGACTCGTAGCCTAAACTAGACAAATAGAATTGCAGGAGATCAAACCTTATAGAATGCTTCAAAAATCTTTGGTGGATTGTACAAGAAAGCAACGGCCAGCCTCTCTGGATAATGGTCTTGTAGAATGTAAATGATATCACGGGCTGTTTTGATAGAAATAGTGGTGTTCAATGAAAACCCAGTGAAGTCTATCAACCAGGACATTTGTTCCTGGCCCTCAGCTAAATTCATGATAGCATTTTCTAGAAGATAGACCAAATGGCGGATATTGTCTTCTCCTGAATTTGTATTCTGCCAAAAAAAAAACAGATGGAAAAATTAGAAGGGCGAATTTAGAAAAGCTTGGTTACAAACAAAACTGAATGGAGAGGAAACATGGTACAGACCTGCATTCCAGGCCTCATTATAAGCACAGTCCTTCCTTGAAGGTCGTGAAAATTTGCCCTGGAAACTTTTCCAGTCTCGCCTTCATGCGCCACTTCACGCTGGAGAAGAATATGACATGAGGTGAGTTCAAGCAATAAAAAAATATAAAGTAGCTATCACCAAAAACTGTCCTAGACTCCCAGTTACTAATTTGCAACCATATGTAATGTTGCTCTAGCTTTTCATTTTCCTTGAAGTATCCATATTTAACTATATGAACATCAGTACAAGGATATGGCCCTTAAGGATATTCCAAATGCAAACTTTTAAAAATTAACATACCCATATGGCACATATGCCTGTATCCTACACCCACACACAAACGCAGAATGAAGCACATGACCAGTGAACAAAGTAGAAGGCAGAGACAATTATCGAGTCTCAGAATCCCCAAAATTTGATTGCATATCGAGATTTAAAATGCCAAAACTGTCTAAATATGTTTCAAACTCCACCTAATCTATGAGGTTTCTAGAACTGTAACAGGCTTTGAAATATCAAAACCCATACACAATACCAAAATGGCAAACTCAGGGAGGCAGAAATTCATCTAAAATACCCAGCGGATTTCTTCAGGTTTATAAGTCGATCTCCACTTTAATGTCTCTTCCAACATTTTCTTTGCTTTGTCGACATTCCAATTCCGAGCTTCCAAATATCTCCTCAGGCATGCATCAGTGCAGTACTTTGAACTGCGACCGGACAAGGGTCCTATAGCAGCCCTGAGTTCACTGATCTGCAATATCAATAAAGTATTTATAGTTTTCAGGCACCTTTTAATCTCAACTCAACAATTGGTTAAAAGAAAATTCGAATCTTTTGAGTCTTTGAATTTTGACATCTGCCTCTTTGCATGACCTAAATCGAAACTTTGTTGCACTTCCCAGTTTTTCCAATCTTTTGATCAACAAACAATGATAAAGCTATAAACCAAATTAACAATATTTGCTCTCCTTCAGATTCAGATATGAATAAATAAGTAAATAAATATTACCTTTGAATCTCGTTGCTCAGGATCATCCTTCTGAGTATGCTTTCTCCGAAGAAACATTTCAACTGCAAAAAAGAAAGAAAAAAGCCAATCATAAATCACAATCTTAATAATCCCCGTTTTACAATCTAAAATAAATAATTTTTTTTAAAAAAAATGGTATGCTTTTCACCCCCAAAAAAAGGTTGATAGTTAATAACGCCTACTTAGCAGTTAGCAGCCGCTTATCAGCTAAGTTCTACCCAACAAGAAATTATTACATGTCACATCTCTTTAATGAAAATAATAAAAGAAAACCAGGGAACCAAAAAAAGATAAAAGATAAAAGAAAAAACAATACATATCCGGTTCGCTTCAACCATTGACCATTGGCATTCAATGAACGAATAAAAGAGCCTTTAAATATTCATCCATAAACAGAAATTCTGAAAACAGATCTCTCTACAACGTTTTTCAATAAAACAATATTTTTCTTTAAGATGAATCGACAAATTTGGAAGGAGAAGAAAATAACCAGCCAATGCAGTTAGATCTATTTCACTACAATTTTAAATGATTACCTAATAATATCGAGGATTTAATGAAAGAAAGGAAGTAAAGAATTTGTGCAGGGAAGCTAGAAAGTGATGCAAACTGCGAATCTAAGAAAGCGGCCTTCAATTCATGCGAGGATGAGAGAATGAGGGCGGGGGATCTTCCTATTTATGAGAGGTGTTTAGTAGTCAGGACGACGCGGTTTGGCTTTAGCATAAAACGGTAAATGTGGGACCTGACCCAGGAAGGCTATGCCAGTTTCTTCGGGTTCTTTTTTAAGGGAGACGGCTTTTTTTTTTTTTTATAAAAGGTTAAAACTTTGGTTTTAAATTTTCAGAATATTGTAGTAGGAAAAAAGTTGAAAAACCGGAGTTATTGAAAATTATTTTAGAATTTATATTATTTATTATAGTATACGTGAAAATTGTCATGGGAGGCGATGAGTTTTATTTATATATATATATATAAATAAAACTCTTTATATGAAACGAAATAAAATTATATAAAACTATGATGATGGAGTGACAAATTATAATTATTTATTATATTTTATGAAACTTATTATTTTCGTGACAAGTTTTATATACACTATAATAAATAATTTAAATTCTAAAATAATTCTCAAACAATTTCATTTTTCAAAATTACTTTATCGCCAGCATTATTTAGCCTAAAAACTCTAAAACTTGGCTCACCATATATACTTTGATTTTGAACTCCGTTAGCATATACTATTGATTTATTACTAGTTAAATTTTATTAATTAATTTAATGATTTCGATGATAAAATATATCGTTTTTAAAATATATATATATATATATATATATGAATAATTATGTATGCAAATATTTTTAGCTAAGGAAAATTCAAACTAACCCAACTTATAAAGTCGGCATTAAAGCTATATATTAAAGCCTGTAGATTATGGTTCCATAAATAGGCCTTTATCGTGAGCTATCAAACTATTTCATAATTTCGGTGGCCCTTCCTAATTCTCGAAGCTTTATGGTATTGTACCAACTTTTTTTGTTTGAAAAATTCCTTCCCTTAACGTTTCTAGAAACATTGCCACAAATAAAAAAAATGGTCGCATGGTTTTTTTCTTTCTTATGTATGACTTTTTTTAAATTAATTTATGATATCTGATTTATTGACCGATTAATTCACAGATCGGTATTGCATAGGCGATGGCGACTCTCTTAACCCAGTTTGCTTCATTCGCGCAAACACTAAAATTTGAACCCCTGATCTCATCCTATCAGACCAATTAGTTTTTGGTAATAATAAACGAATTATTAATACAAGAATTGTACTTGAGTTTTGGATTTCATTTCACTTGAATTAGAAAGAGTCGAAGACCAGAACCGAACCATCCCTGGGAGCTTCCAGTTTTGCGACGAAATCGGCCACTTTATTTGCTTTGCGATACACCTTTTGGAACTCGAAGTACAAAGCCTTGTTATAGAGGTGCCCAATGGCTCTCACCAGAGCGAAAGGACTCGTATTAGACGGTCCCAAATCTGTGTGCCCTCGTGCATACTTGAAGGGCATGCTCAAATCCGTTATACAATGTAAGCTTGAGACCTTCAAGTATGTACAATGACACACAGATTTAGGATAGTTGAATGAAAGAATATAGATGATTGAAATTAACTTTTAATTTTTTTTCTAATGAATATATTCTCATTTTTTACCATGTAACGAATTTGAGACCCTGAAATATGCACGATAACATACAGATTTAAGACCGTTGAATGAGTGAATATAGATGATTGAAATTAACTTTTTATTTTTTTTTCTAGTGAATATTTTTTTAACTTTTATTCTCTATCATTTACATTTATTTTCGCTCATCTAATGATCCTAAATTTGTGTAAAATTAATAGAGTTTTAATTGTGTAATAAGATCCTAACTCAATTATAAAAGTTTTAGAAAATTATATATTCAAATTCACATTCTTTAAATTATTATATTAATAATATATTAATTGAATTAAAATTTAATTACGATTTCTGAATATTAAAATTGTATGAACCTTGATAAAAAAAAACTGAAATTTTACATGAGTAGTTTTCTAAGGTACGTCTCATGTTAATTTGAGGAGTCAAAGTTTAATCTTAATTTGATTAAGAGTAATAAAATGTTAAAATTATAGTCTCCAATGTTGAATTTCAGGGTAGATAGAGGCTGGATGTTTGAATCCCATTAATAATAAATCAAGATTTCGTCCAAATCTGAAGCCGCGACACGCAGAAATTTGTTTCGTAAATCTCTGTTCCCAACCCAAACTCCACGTTGTTTATCATTTTCAACGCAATAGCTGCACAGGGTTGGTAATTTGGCTCTTTCTCTTGGACCTAACAGTTCTAGAAAAAAATTTGGTTAATAGACAATGATTGATTGTTGTTGTTAGTATTTTTCTATATCACATCTTTAAATTTTTTTAATTTTTAATTTGTATATTTATAGTATATTTTTCATACCTATTAGTATGTTTTCGATCGTTTGATCATTTTTTCGTTTATTCTTTTTATCAGGGTTAAATTTGATATATCGACATGATTAATCAAGATGACTCATATTTGTTATCATGATGATCTTTCATGCTTTAGATCCTCAAAATATATTTAGATACATAATTTGTGTTAGCTTATAGTTTTCTCACGTTGTTAGACTCTGATTCATGGTTTATTGATAATTTTTTTATAACTTTATCTCATTTATTATTTGTTTGCTGATGCGATCAGATTTATTCATATCTATCTTCGTTCGATTTATTTGATTAGTTTTTTAATTTTTCATTGCATGGTCCTTTTATGAATTTAAGTGGTTAATTTTTTATTTTTAGTTTTTATTAATCTAGGATAAGTACAAAGTATTGATTAGGCTTTTTAACTTTTCCTTCTATGATCTTTATATAATTTTATGTAACTAGTTTCTTGTGTTAATAATTATAAGAAAATATCATATTATGTTATAATTATAATTTTTATTGGAATTTTAAATATTTTTTATTTTTAATAAAATTAATGATTTCTATATATAAAAAAATGTATTTAAAAAATCAGTTCTAGAAATTTGATGTATCAGGATTTTCTATGCGCCTTCAGCGTCGTCATATATACACCACAAAAAGGGGAAAATGAAAGGAAAAAAAAACCTTTTATAATTATATTTTACAGTAGAGAGACGATTCTACCATGCCCAAAATTTTCTTCCTAGTTAGCACGTATGAGTTTTTTCGAATTTGATATTATCATGAATTTTGTTTTAATAGAAGTCATTGGTTTTATTAAAAGAATAAATATTTAAAATTATAATAATTGTTTATAATCATGATTGTACATATAATTTGAATATTTTTTATACTTATTAACACAATAAATTAGTCATTTGAAGTCTGATCAAATAAAAAAATGTTAAAATTTCAATCAAAAACTCAAATAAAGATATATACATATTAATATAATCGTATCAGTAAATGAATCACAAAAAGAAATCAAAACTACTGAAAGATCACCGATAAATCGTATATCAGAGTCGAGCGACATGAGAATGATATCTACGAGCACAAATTACGTATCCAAATCCAATCCGATAGTTAAAAGCATAAAATATCAATAAGATAATAAATAAGTGACATTTTGATTAATCAATGTGTCATCAAATTCTACCACGAGAAAAAAATAAAACAAAAAAAAAATCAAACAAACCGAAAAAAGAACATATCGTACCTAAAGATAAAATTATTGAAAACTAAAAATAAATATAAAAAATAAATATAATATAATATAAAAATAATAAATAATAAATATCGATAATCCACCATCAACATTAAAACTAATGTTACCCCAACCAAGCAAAGATTTAACAAAAGTTTTCAAGCGGCACAGTAGAACCTAGGATAGTAAACGTAATTCCTCCAACCAAACTCTTATTATCATAAAATTTTAGATAAAGACCAAAATTAATATAAATATTGATCAAATATATAATATAATATTTAAGTATTTTTATATAATTATATATATATAATTTTAATTTTACTCAATTTTTATAAATCAATATATCATTATTAATATAATCTCATTTTATATTATCTTAGCTATTATCTTATTTGTACCAAATCATTAATTTTGTTAAAATAGGATAAAGTACATAAATGGTCTTCCGATTATAGGATATTTCTTTATTGAGTCATCAACTATTAAAAGTTTTAAAATGTTCCCCGATTATAGAAAATTATTTTTTGATTCCCTTGACTATTAAAAGTTACAAAATGATCACCTAATTATTCATTATATTCCAAACTCGTCATTTTCCATTAAAAAATTAATAGTCATCTAAGTTGAACGTTTACATGTGAACTGATATATGATAATCGTTTGAGATTATGAGTTCATTTTATCATATCTAAGTCGATAGGTTAACGTTTAGCTCAAATTACCGTCAAATTTTAACGGAAAATAACGAGCTTAGAACATAATGAATAGTCAGGTGATCATTTGTACTTTTAATAGTCAAGGGACTTAACAAAACAACTTTATATAGTCGAGAGATCATTTTGTAACTTTTAATAGTTGAATGACTCAATAAAATATTATCCTATAGTCGAGGTGACCATTTGTGTACTTTACCCTAAAAATTAGGATAAATTATAAATTTAGTCACTCAATTATTCATGCGATTCTATTTTATATACTTAACTATTTTTTTTAAAATCACATTAAAAAAACTATTTTTAGTCATTACTAAACATAAGTTTTCATTTCATTTGGTCATCTAATTCGATTGATTTATCTCTTTAATTTATAATATATAATAAATATATATATATATATATATATATATATATATATATATATATATATATATATATATATATATATATATATCTTTATAAGAGCTTCCACTGCAAATTCCACTGCTTTAAAATGGATAAATCGAAATTTCTCCCTTTTGAATCGTTAATAGCTTCTTAACGGCCTAAGTTGTTCTATAAATTTTGTCCCAACAAATGTGTTCCTTGCTAAGCGAATTTGGCCTCTTGTAACACCCCAAACCCGTATCCCACCTTGATACGAATCCGATGTGTCACATTGACTTTTCAAAACAATATTCTTACAAAATAACAGAAAATTTGAACTTAAATTCAGAAAATACGATAATATACTGTTGA